ATGCTGCTCAGACAGGTCCCTGTCTTAATTTTACACTTGGCCAACTAATTTTCTCTGTCCCAAATAATTCCCAGTCTTTACCAGGGAATTAGCATGGACAAGGGATCATTCCCCATCACAGTTTGGATGGATCCAACCTGTTCTTGAACATATGGCTAGAGCATGCCAGCTGGCCTCATGGCCAGAGGAGGAGCCTTCACCATGCCTAGTTTGCTTTATAGATGTGACAAAGATTGCATGTAACCTCTGGATTGGGTGAGTAAAGGAATCGGTTCTCTGGAAGTTGTTTTTGCCTCTTGGGGAAGGTCCAAATCAATCCAGTTAGCTGTCAGGAGGGATGAAGGGTCCATAACATCCCCCAGGCATGCAGATATTTGGTTGTTTCCCTGAGATTACGACCAGTTCTCAATTCCCTGTTCTCATGAGATGCACTGAGCACTCTGGGGATGTCTTTGGCCAGGGTGAAAGGCCACTTGCAAGAAATGCTTAGATTTCCTAGCAGGACTTGAGGTACAGGAGATTTCTCTTCTAGATCTTGAAGTTTCCCTAGTCTGGGAGAGGGGATTTTGTTTTCTCAGATTATGGAGTGATGTAGTGAGTGTCCCATATTCATCCTCTAGTGACACATTCTCTCATTATGTGATTGAATGAAATTCCAGCTGCACTTTCATTCAGACACTTTTAGGGCTGTGTTTTCTCTCATTTGTTGCCAGACTTATAATACCAGGCATTTTATAGAAACTAAATAAACAACTGCCATAGGGAGCTTGCAGGCTGAAAGGAAAGCACATAGTGAAAAAAATTGATGTGAGGTCCAGAGCAGGCCAACAATAAATAAATCAAAATCCTGTGATCCAAAGTTCAGTATCAATCAGTTCTAGTTCAGTCTTCCTCTTATATTGTGATGGAGAAGGCTGTTGATTGATTAAGTCTTGCTGAACTGAACCTTTTAAAGTATGTGAGCAACAGGTCCACTGACATTGGGGCCTGTTTTGTGGATGGATAGGTTATAAAAGTACAATTAAGAGATGGAAACAGCTTGCCTGGTTATTAAGGGTAGAATGAATGCATGAAAAATGAGGTCCAACAAAGAGGCAAGTCTTTGCAGGTGAAGAAAGAGAATTTAAACTGATAGATCAGGTTCAGAGAGTAGACAGAGGTTAAAGCTGAGATGACAAAATTAAAGAGTGGGCAAAGTGATTATTCATCCCTGTCACAGCACATACCCTTGACCAGATTTGGCCCATGCCAAGCAGTGCTTCCCTAGAGAGCATCTCCTTAGCAGGGTATGGAGCAACACAAGCCAGGCCACACTCCTGGCAGACATCCAGCTGCACGGGGGACAAAAGCTGTGCCACGCCAGCCTGACCTTGGGCACTGCTCTGTGTCATTTCCCACTGTACATGCAGTAGCTTCAGGGTTGAATGAGCTGCCTGGATGTGTCAAGCTGGTTCCAACTCAGCAATATCTCCTGACGTTTCCAAGCTTAAGTCTGGAGAACCTCAGCTGTGACAAGTTCCTATCACAGTTTTGAGTGTCATCTGTGCAGTGTTGAACTGGAATGAATGACAGATACATCACATATTTAAAAAGGAAAATGAGATACTACATGTAAGTGATAGGTTTTGCTCTCCTACTTATGCAGATCACAGCGTCATTTTACTATACATTGAGCTTTCAAAGAAGCAAATGTCTCTACATTTTTAGAGCATTTAATTTTTTGTCAATGCTTTTGAGCCCTGTTGAGAGTGGAGATTTTCCTGCTATGTTTTAGTTTCAAGTTCAGAGCAAGAGTCTTGTTTTCTGTTTAGACCTGTTTGTGATGCAGTAGTTTGTATATTGATGTGTCCCTTGTGTGTGAACTGGGTTCCATACATAGTTAAAACACTTATATTGTAAATCATCCGATTTTCATAATCTCTTTGTTTGCAATTCATTGCCCATTGAAGCATTCCTTGCTAAGAACACGACTTTCTTCTATGTCCACTGGTGTAGAATGTTCCACCAGTAGGTAGCAAAGGGCAAGCTGAGGGCCTGTTTATCTATGAGACAGAGAAGGTGAATGGCATGAGATGAATGCACTCATTTCTGACACTTGCATTTCAGCATGAGCCAGAATGCTGTGATGACCTGTCTGACTCCTTTACTATGAGAAATGAAGTGTTCATGAATGCTGAGTATTCATGAATGAAGGCCATGCTTTTCATTTTTATGGTCAATAATAAAAATGGCAATTTCTAGGAAAAATTTAAACTGAGGAAACAAAGGCCATGTATGTCTTTGCTGAATGAATAATATGAGTTTGGAGTACAGTTTAATCTCATACAAAGATTATCTGTGTAATACTGCAAGAGCCCCCAGGACTCTAGAATAATTTTTGCTTCATAAGTGCAGAACACAAAAATTGAATCCTTTCAATGGCTGAAATGACAAAAGCCTTTTGAAAAGACAATGGAAAAAATGAAATAGTGATGTGAATATGTATAGTGATAAAATATAAATAAATAAGAAGTCCTTATAATTAAGAAGTAAACTAATCACTAATACCTACTCATACCCCTCATACAGATTCATAAACCTAAGGGAATGACAAAGAAATTCTAAGTTCCTTTGAAATACCTGCAATTGACCCAATTTATAACAGAATGTAACTTTTCTGCAGGAAGGACATTTTATCTCTGTGCTCTCTGTAGGTTTTTCTGGACAACAGGCTCACTGACATTAACAAATGTAGTACAGCTACAAGAAAGAAATTCATTTTAATCCTAATTCTAATGGGAAATTGAGACAGAAAAAGATTAAGTGGATTGTCCGAATTTGCACAGAAATGCTTACAGCAAAGTCAGAATCTGACTTACGGATCTCATTGCATGACCTTTCCCTTTAATTTTGGGAAATAATTTTTTTCTTTTTTTTTCTTTTTTTCTTTTTCCTCAAACACTTCACATCCACAAATGTTTAGTCTTAATTAGCCTACTCCTAGCATCTTAGTCTAGTTTTTGGCAGATTTGTTTTATGATGCTGTTTTCTTGCAAGGGAAAATAATGTTATGCATTCATTCTGTATGTTTCTGAATGATGTGACAGACTTTTGGAATCAATTAATATATTTTTCAAAAATATTAAACTATCTTCTTTATTATGAAATTAGCAGTAAGATCTCCTGCTTACTTACAAGAATGTAAAGGATCCTTCAGAATATTTTTGTTACAACTTTCATTACTTATAACTGCTTTCTTGTGCAGCCACATTAGAGGATAAGCATATGAGTTACACAATATAGGCAGATCATGTGAGCAAAGTCTCCATGGAAACTGCCTAATTTGTGCTTTTATTTAATTAGAGTTGTCCATTACCTCTCCAAATGAAGTTTAATTTAAATTCATATGCCAGTCATTTTTTAAATTGTGTATGACTTTTCATCCATCACTTACTGAGATCTCTTGTAGGCTGTATTTTAGCAGACTGAGTTTATTTAACAATTGAGTTTATAAACAGGATGTTTATTTGACAGCTCAGCTTATCCAACACTCTTAACATCCTTGGAACTAATTTTCTATGCAGTATCTGTGCTATACAACTCATTGTTATCAATTAGACATTCTTAACCTCAGAAATTGTCAAAACCTCAGAACAATTGCTTGAGAGATCCACATGAGTGTATTCACTCATTTTCCTTGCTGTGAGATAATTGGGAAAAAATTTGAGTACAAATAAAAAGTGTAATTAAAAAAATATGCAAAATGCATGTGTTTGTTAAATGGAGCATTGAAGCAGGCAAAGCTGTGTGTCTACTGTAAGCCACACCAGAAAACCAGCTGGTCTTATTGAGGTACTCTGAAGAAAAGTCTGAGCTGGTTTGACCTTACAGAACTGTCTGCGTGAGGGTATGATAGCATGAACTGATGTGAGTTATTTGGAAGTCATCAGTCCTTGGCTGTGCACCACAAGAACATGGTCTGCAATACCTGATTTTAACTTTCTTTCAAGAGCTGCTCCCAGTTCTTCTGAGGTATGATAAGAGGACAGTGGAAGGCTGTGTGTACTCAGTAATTACCACCCACCTGAGACACCAGCAAATATGGAGAATAGGGAAAAACATAAAAAGAATTAAAAATGTAGTATTGGGTAAATAATGAAACATATTACTGACATATTTTGTATCATAATGTATGAATTCTGAATCAAATCTTGCATCTCATGGAATCATTATTGACCCAGTTTTCCATTTGCAGCTCCATTACAGAAATATCTAGACTAGGTGCCTGCTCCAAAATTAGTTTATGTGTCAGAATGACAAGAGGGTGATGCAGAGGCAACAAACTGCAGCTCTGAAAGGGACATTAGCCAGGGTAGCTCAGAGCTGCACTCTGATGCCACTCAGGTGGTTTCTGCATTCATACATCATAAACATATCATCCAAGTTTAAATATTCTTTCATAATTACAGAAGTTATCTCTGGAAAAAAAGTAAATGTTAGTGAAAAAAAGGAAATGTTGAAAAAAGTCATCACAACATTATCGTAGTTCACAATGGCAGAATTGAAAGTTTGTGTATGAAAAGGTAATAAAAGTTGCCTAAGAATCATGTGTGGTAAGTGCTAGAGGTGCAACTGGAGGACCAACAATAAGGATTCTTCTGGAACAATTACATGATGGCTAAAAGTCAATACAATTTAACATAACTAAGAAAAACTGGAAAGAACAATGTAAAGGATGTTACAAAAAATGCATTTATGAATATTGTGTTATATTAGTGATTTGAATTTGCCTAGAAAAAATAAAATAATAATAATTGCTAATATTAATAATAGATGAAAACTTGAAAAAATGGCAAAGGGATAAATTCTGCAGGTAATAGCAGCACAGCAGTTTAACATTATCAGAGGTCCTGAATGGTAATAGGGGTCACTGAGCGGATTTAAAAACTAGTGGAGAGTTGTGTCTGGATGTAGAAAAATACCAGAGTTATTAAATAGCTACTTTGTTTCTGTCTTTTCAGAAGAAGAGGGTGGCGATCTGCTCAAGTCGAGCTTCAGTTTTCCAGGGACGCCAGAGGAGGAGCTAGGTACAGAATCCATCCCGCAGACACCCGGTACCGCCTGCGCGGGCTGGGCACGGGGCTGCTCTGCGCCACAGCCTCACCCCACAGAGCCACCACTGACAGTGGCCAAAACCTCACTCAACCCTTCTGGGCATTTCTCACCTGCTGTATCAGGTCAGAGAATGCACAGGAAAATCATCAGATTTGAGTAACACTCAGGCAACTGAGAATCCAAAAGAAGGTGTTCAAGGAAATTGCCGACCTTCCTTCTTTTGTCTTTTTGTCTTACTCTTGAGAGAGCATCCTAAATGCAGATGGAGTTTTCAATGTTACCTTTTCAATCTGAAAAAATAACAGAAGCAAGAAGAAATCAGAAACTCTTAAAGCCAATGAGTGAAGTCTTGATACTTCTGTCTTACACAGCTAGTACTAAAATGTCCCACTGGCTTTGGTTTTATACATTTAGTTTGTGAAAAATTGAGTTTCTGTTCCTGGAATTTCATACCCAGATTGTCACTGGTTTATGTGAAATCTGTCAAAATTTTGACTTATATGCAATTACTCCATGTGGTTATTTTTAGAAAAGCAATATGGGAAGTGGTTTTTATGTGTTTGCTAGTTAAAGCTGCCTTTATTCAACATGAGCTTACTTACATTTCAGAAGTCAGCGTAAAGTAATTTTTCTTTTTGTGCATATGCTCATGTTAATATATTGCAACAGTTTATTTTTTGTTATTAGAATATTGTTGTAGTTGACAAGAATATTATAAACTCTTGCCCTGACTGTATTATTACCCCTGCTAGGAAGATAAATTATAGTTGCTCTGTTAAGGAAAACTACCCAAGCAGTTAAAACAAGGAGCATGAATTCAGACAGGCTGTGTCTTTACGTTTAGCCAATCTCTTAGAAGAGGATTCAAGTAGTGTTGCCACTCAGTTACACTCAAATCAGTGAGTGTCATAGTTGTTCAACGTAAAAATTTCTGTACTGGACTTGTTTATTCACTTAACATTCCAAAACAAGTGAAAAAAAGCTACAGGATACACTCCAAAGATTAGACAGAAGAAAGTGTTATGGAAAAGACTGCAGAAGACTCAGTCAGTTTCTGCCTTAATCAAAGTGGTGTAAAAGGGAAGATATCATTTAACATGAGACTTCCTAGGAATCTCACAAGTGGATCCTATGGAGGAGTCATGAAATGAGCAAGTCTCTAAGCCTTCTTGTACATTTGGAGTTTTTTCACCCTGTTGTCCCATTTCTCAGCACACAGGAAGGAGTTCAGATGGCCTGGGTTAGAATTCATCTCATCTGAGAGTTGGAAACTATGTCAGATGTAGATGTCTAAACTGTAGATCTCAGGACTTCTTTTAGAGTCAATGGAGAGCGATAGAATTTTCTAGGACATAGCAGGTTTGGCCTACTTTAGAAGCTTAATGAAGAGTGAGATAAGTAATGCTTTAGAAGAATGTCACAATTGTTCTCCTTCCCATTTGTTTGAGAAAGAACTGCAGGATTTCTGGATCCAGCGCAAATGATGTACAAGTCAATAATATTAAATGTCAGGTGTCTATAGGAGCAAGGACCCTCATACAAAATAGATAGTCAAAGATTAACACAAAGATATATTCTAACTGCCCAATCATCCAGAACTCTGACTAGGAAGAAGATGGGGGATTAGTCAGAAACAAGAAACAGGAAAGCAAAACAGCAATAAGAACAACAAATAACAACTAGACTGCAAAGAAATTAGGCTGCTTTCCAACATTTCAACTATTTATGGCCAAGTGACTAAAAAAATATGCAACAAGCAAGGAAAAATCCATCCTTGCTCCTAAATTTTGTCCTTTCTACCGTCCTCTGAAAGTAAGCACCAAAGATTGCTAGATAATACATGGGAAGAGATAGGTGGCTTTAATCTTTTTGGATGAAAATCCTGTCTTCCTAAAAGGACTAAGTCACCAAACTGGAGGTGGTCAAAGTAAGTGGACTGGATAGCATCAGTAATGTAAAAACATATGATAATGTAAAAACATAATGTAAAAATATATCCCCTTCTCCCCTAGAGAGAATCACTGAAATTGGTAAGACTTTTAGAAAAGCTGTTAGTTAGTTAGTTAGTTAGTTAGTTAGTTAGTTAGTTAGTTAGTTATATTCTGTGTAGACAAGCTCTGCAGTTACAGCTATGCTAATGTGCTACCCCTCTACAGATGGACAGGACATGTCTTTCTGTCTTTGCCCCAGTGTTGTGTTCTGTCACTAGCAGATTTGTGTTCAAATCAATGAATCTTATATATAGAATAAGTGAAAAAACTGCAAACATCTTTCTCAGTCTTCACTTTTTCTTGCTGTTGCACATGCATAAAGTTAATTATTCATTGGAGAGAAATATGATTCTGGGTGGATACTCTAATCCTTGGACTATGGAAATGGGCTCGCTTCTTTTCTGTGTATACATAACCCAATGACTATGTCATAATTTTGTATGAACAGCCTCAATCTGACAGACTGCTAGAGACCTTCATCCCTGAAGAAAACAGAGAAAGGACGTAAAATAAACTGCCCTAAGTCAAGACAGAATCAGGATGATGTTCTTTGAGGCAGCTCTACCTGCAGGGCCATTCATTATTCTAGACTCTCATTGTCCTGAGGAGCTTCAAGTTGTGATCTCTCTGAAAGATCTCTGGCTCCAGGTCCTTGTTTGTAAAATAGGTTTAGAATTTCTGAGGGAGGTTTCTGGCATTGGTGGGGTTTAATTAATGTTTGCGCAGTGTCTCATGAGAATAAAAATGCTGAATAGTCATTGAATAATTTTTTAAATAAAGTTATCCACTGCCTTAATTGGAAAAAAGTATCAAGGGATAGGACTGATCTCAACTCTTTCCCCCTATTAATTCTATAAGAGACTTTTTTGGTTAAACCAGGCAGAAGAGCAATGTATTCCCTCAAAAAGAGCTTACCCAAGCATTATCAGTCAGTTTTTGAGAACATTACATCAGGGCTCTACCATTAACATTTATTTGTTACCGGAGTTCAGGGTGAAAAGTATTATTATTACAAGATTCACACTCACACCAAAGTTCTTTTCACTAAGAATATCTCAAATAAGAAACCTGTTAAGCAATAAAGAAAATAAAAGTAGCAGGACATGATGATGAGAGCAAGAGATCTGACTTGTGAGCTCAAGTAGCTCACTTTAAGTCTCACAGAAACTGGAGTTCTTTCATTCTAGGCTTTCTTCTAGCTGGTATTTATATCATCTAAACCATGTTACTGTATAAAAAAAAATATTTAATGAAACTACTCTTTTCTATGCTATCTGAAAATTTCAGTCTTGTTTACTTTAGGCATGTTAAGGATAAGGCAGTATTTTGCTTTACATGTCCAAAGCAAATAGTGCAATCTTAACAAGAGACATAGAAAAATGCTATGTTTGAAAGGCATTCAAATAGTTACAGAAATGTGAACAGGGAAGATGGGATGAACTTCTCTTTGAACATATATTTTAATAGGTAGTACATGTACAGAGTAAATAGGGAAAAATAGATTTTTGAAAAATTATTTTAACTAATTTTTACAGGTAAGGAAATATTTACACAAGTTTTATAGTTAGGCTGTTTTATAGTTAGCAAGATCTAATGTCAAGCAAAGAAGGAGAACTTGCACTAAAAGCTTTTTACTGCAGTAAATTTCTGTTTTCTCTTCAGGAATGGGTATTGAGTTGATGTTAAGGAAAAGGCCAAAACCTGTAAAACAGGTTGCAGTTACTAATAATGCTCTTAACATGCCCTAGTTGCAAAGTAAACTGTAAGGGAGTCTAAGGGCAGGCCATGAAAATGTATTTTCATTTCACAGTTGATGCTTTTGATTAATTGGAAAGGTTCCAGTGTCAGACAGTAACTCATGGTTATTCAATCACTGCTGATTGCATGATCATGCCTTTATGACCTTATGTGTTGGAAGGAAGAAAGGACATGGCTGTTATTGAAATGAAAACATTAATGAAGTCCTGACTTTTCAGTCTGTCTGTCCTTCTACCGTGCACTCAGTGCAGTCAGTGTCTGAACACTTCACAAGGGTTTTAGCTTCATGTGCCAGGAACTACAGGAAATTTTCCCAAGGACAGAGGGGGGTTGTCAGTGAGCCCTTGACTCTCATCTGTGTCACATCCATGCCTTGGTGCCCCTTCCCCCAGAGCATCCAGGGATATTTAAATATCTGTAGACTGATTGGAGCTGGTGGGACTTCAGCCAGACATGGCTTGGGCACACAGAGTAACCACTACAGCGACACTCATCCCAGTAATCAGCAGGCACAGGAACACTCTGGTATTAATTCCTAGATGAGCCACAGACTGAATGTTCCCCTGGATTGTGACCCTAACACCCAGAAGTACAGAAGTTTTATCCTAGTTCCATGGGGGATTGAAGCAGGGAGTCTACAAGAGACGTGCACAAAGGATCACTGCAACCCAGGGAGGTTAAGATCAGCCTCTCCACAGCAACTGACACCCCCTGCCCATGGCACTGTCCTCAAACATGCAAATAATTCAAGGCTGACAGAAAACTTGACTGCAGGTTTCCCAGGTTAATCCTCTAACCACAGGGCTATCTTTCTATCATATAATAAAAAATATGTAGCCAGGTGGTTTGGCATGACAGTATAAAAGTCTTTCAGATTTACAAGAGATTTTAGATATGACATGCCCCGATATGATTCAGTGTCACCCTCTAATTTCCTTATTGTGACTAGATTAACAGATACTGAAAAAAAAATACCCTTTCTTATTTGTCATTTTTCATCGTATCTTGAAATAATTCCAGTTGATATTCTTAATTTTTCTCTACTCAAAACTGTAGTGTAGAAGGTTATTGATGCAATAATCAAGACTGTAGAAAACATTAATGAAATAATAAGAAATGTTTTTCAGAAAATAAATTTTTAAATTTAAATTCCTTTTAGTTATGCTTGAGAACTTAGTCTTATTTTACTTTCAGTCATAGAACAAAATCATATCATATGGCCT